CACGCCTTGATTGTGAAGCATACCTTACAATTAGGTTGCATTGATTAAGTTGATTCGGGGAAGACAGTTCCTTAGTGCCTTCAGAGCTGGGCAAATTCAAAGAATGGCTCACTGGAGATGACCAATTTGGGCCTATCCACGTTCACAGAGATGTTAAATAACCACGGGCCTTCTTCTGTGTCTGTTGGTCCTGTAAGTGAATAAAAATTTTGTGGAAAACTCATGTTTTTGCAATAAAGAGTTAGCTTTTTCCTGTACGCGCATGGCTACGAGTTTGGAAATGCCATGAAATGTTATCTGGGAAGTATAAGTGTAGTGGTTTCCTGTCCTAAATTTCTGATTGGCTCAAAAGCAATTAACTTTCGTGTAAACGCTTAAGCTTCTCTACCATGCTTTTGAGCGTGGTTTACACCATGATAAATTTCCTTTCTAGATGCTGCATTACCCAAGCAACTTATACTAAAACACCACAACTGCAAAAAAACTGGTTGGACTGAAAATTATAAAAACACTGAAAAACACCATTTTAAACACTGGTTTTTAATCAACCCTGGTGTGACCATAGACTTTCAAAAAAGTCGTTAGTCTGATTTAATTCGCGACTTCTTTGCTCACTTGGCCACTTAGCGGTATAAAAAGCTTGCTCCGCTTGCTAAGAAACTCGTGAGGTCGACTTGTAGCAAGTCTAGTGTGACCACAGCCATATATTATAATTTGCCGTTTCACTGTCATGCCAATGACAGTAAAAATCCAAACCACTCAATAGATACATGTGTTGTAAAGTCACTAAAATGTGGGGAAAACATAATGATAATAATTTGAAATTTATAGCGCACAAATATCTATATGAATATATATATAATCAAATGCACAAAATATATACAAAGACCCTCATAAAGATTCAGGTTGGTTCAAATTTTTGATATGCGAGATGTTTGGAGAAATGTTTTACCTAAATTTACAGAGACAGCATGATGTGGGCCGGGCACCAACATGGCAGCCAGAAACCAACAGAAACATCTGTTGCCGAGTCTTGCTACAAAAGTGTGAATTCGATTCCCTTGAGGAACTCATAAACATTAAAGTAATACTTTTCCTAATTCAGATAGCAAAATCCTCCAAAATAAGTTACTTTTTAACCTATATGACAGCTCTCTTGGCCGCCATGTAAATCATGCTGTAAATGCTGTGTAACACAAAATGTTAGAAATTCGTCAAATGTACTCATCTATGACAAAATGAAGACGACCCTTTTGAAGTGGAAATTTTTAAAGTTTTTATTACAATGTAGCTGCTCTAACACTTCACGAAAATAAAAACTCAGGAGGGTTGACAATTCTTTATTTTTGAATTGATTGATGTGAAAAAGGTTTGAAATTAAAGTGCTTGATTTACATAATACAATATGCACTAACTCAGTAAGTATAAGGTCTGCAGCCATGTGAAGGGTATAGGTAAAGTTAATGGGAACCAGAACTGAAGAGTATCTCAGTGATCAGTTGAGTGTCGCAATAATCACTGATCAGTGTGATCAATTTATTTGTATCTCATACTATGTTTCCCCTGTTTTCCTGTAATTGCAGACATACAACAGTTCCTCTAAACAAGCTTTTTTTTGCAAAACACAGACAGACGGCCGTTATTTCAACATGGCAAAGGAAAAGACCACAGTTCTTTTCAATTTGTGCTGACTTGTAAGCCAATAGTATACTAGTATACCAGACTACCAACAGTTTAAAAGGTTAAAATGGTTCTGCAGAAATTATTTCAGAAAGTAATGAATTATTACAGCAGGCTGATCATTTTCATTTTCGTTTTTTTCAGCAACAGGAAAGGCCTTTCTGGTACCAGAGCTGACTAAATTTGCTCATCGCCTCTTTCCACGTCATCTCAAAGCTCTTTTTTCTTGCCTGGATCTCAAAGTGCTTCAAGACATGGCAAAAGTGCTTCAGGATGAACCATGGATTCTGGGTTACCAGACTGTCATGAAAGAAAGATTTGGATTATCAGGCTGTGAGGTCAAGCTACCATCATTTGTTAACTGCAAGCTTATGGGCAAAATGCCTCCTATAAACCGAGATGCTTTGTACGTTTACAATGCCTTGTGTAAAGATACATATAAGTATGGTCACACCTATGTTCCTTTGTGGAAGTTGAAACGTAACAAATGTTACGAGCCTCCATCCACACCAAGAGTTTATCGTGTCACCACCTGGGAAGAAAGCCTGGCATATCTGAGGGAGATAAATGTTGTTAAGACTTCTGGCGATGGTGATGGGCGGTCTGTGT